CCCCAAAACCCCAAAACCCCTTGCTTGTGTGATAGAAACAATATAATTATAAACAAAATTAATTATCAATCAAAAAGGAAAGTGTACAATTTAGCAGACTTGCTTCTGGAATTTTCTTGGACTTCTTCATTTGAAGGAATCAAAGGCTTTTTAGTTCCAAAGTTACCCTTCTCAAATTTCTTCCATTTCACAAAACTTTAGCTTACTAGTTTTTCTTCAAGAGAATGAAAAGTAATGATCATTAGCATTGAATTCTAGTCCATAATTTTACCTTTCTAAACATACTCCAAAAATGTTTGCAGATTAAGGAGTTCATAATTAGTTGAGATTCTAATTGCTTAAAATATTCTTTTGATAGTCTAATTTTTTTCATCTCTTGATGAATTTGGAAAAGCATCTCTTATTGCCTCCTTGAGTTAGCCTGTAGTCAGGATCATTTTACCCTATCTGAATTGAATAAGTTTCTTAGCTAATTATGAACTGTACTTTTCATCCCCAAATTTCTTGAATATGCTCGATAACTCTAACTCTGAAGCATTATTTACAATATCAGCTGCACTTGATTACTTCTCGCTGTTATGATCAAATCTCATATCTAGAGGTTATTCATCAGGACCAATATAACTGAAACCTCTTTCAGTATCTTCTAATTAATAGCTACTAAAACCAAGATCAAGAAGAGCAATATCATATCTGTCCTTTACTCCGAACCTCTACTTGAATGAACCTCTTGGATCAACTCCAAAGGAATTGACAAAATTCATATGTTCCAAAGCAAGTCTTTTCTCCTTTATCAAGTCAGAATATTATACTCTACAAACATCCAAGGTCTTACTATCTAAATCAGTTCCAAGAATTTTCAAAGCTTGATGCTTCCTTAGCAGTGGCACTGAGTGATTTCCACCTCCAAAGGTGCAGTCTAGCATCTGAAAGTCAAGTTTCTCTTTCTCATTGTGAGCAATGAAATCATCTACCATAGCTTGAACCTCTCTATACATCACGGGATAATGAGTAGTCTAGCCAATCTACAAGAACTTCTAAGTTTATTCAACTGCAGGAGGGGAACTTGCAAGAGTTGAGAATAGTTTTCTAGTTAAATATTTTATAACCATTAATTTATTATATTAATTCAATTAAATATGCTGCTAAACTCATTTAAAACTACTTTTGCTAGATAAAGTAAGGCATTTTTCATTTTCATTTTATGAGTCATAGACTTGCAGTTTTTGAGAGTATAAAACGCTGCTTTCACTAGGGCATACAAAAAGATATTACTAACTGATGATGTGCCTAATCTAGGATTCAGAGGTGAATGGACATTCGTAAAACCAGGCTATGCTCTTAATAGTCTCGTTCCATAAAAGAAGGCTCTTTTTGCTACAGATCCCGATTGTGCAAAAGTTGTATTTGATGTAAATTATTTAATCTAGCTAAGGACCGAGAATTTATATCATATTTTGTAGAAAGATCAATTGAAGAAGAAATAGGAGTAAAGAGTCTTAGAGGTATTCCTGTCTAAATTAAAGGAAATCAGAATTATCTTTGATAGAGAAGTATCAGAGATTAATAAAAATGTGGCTAAACAACCAGTTCTTGGTAATAAAATGATAGTAAATAATGCATTTCATAATAGCTGAGGAAGTTTTGGATTCCTTAAATAAGAGATATAACATGGGAATTAAAAAATCAGATTTTAAGATGGAATAGGGCATCGATACAGTTGGTGAGCATTTTGTACAAGCCTCGTTTATGAGTGAGCAGTTTGAAAAGGAATTCAGCTTTTTCGTTAAAGTTGTTATCAGATCTAAAAAAGGAGCAAAAGAATCTGTTAAAGCAGATCAAAAGAAAAAGGCCTCAGAAGGAGGATCTAAATGAACATCTCTTGGCACATAATTTACCTCTCAATGCTATTTAAACATTTTACTTTTCAATTTCCAATTCGATTTCATCATATCATTTATAAATTTCTTATATTAAATGAGGGGTTTTGGGGTTTTGGGGTTTTGGGGTTTTGGGG